CGGTGGAATCAAGAACATTTTCTGATGACAGCTCGGTGCAGGGGGGGTACCTCGTGACTATGACTGAGCCAAATGAGATGTTAGGTTATCGAAACATCAAAAAATCTCGGTTGCTAAAGAAATATGGCCTCTGGAAGGGTTCCTAACTTGGTCAGCTAGAAGAAGGTAGGAGAGGCTCTAACAAACCTATGGGAGAGGAATTTTCCTTAGCAGACATTGATTAGAACAACGAAGGATGCGGTTTGGAGCAGACGGAATATGAAGCAAATGGCGAGATCTGTAACAGATGTCAGGATCTGAAGCAAGAAGTTTCCTCCTTAGCAGATGGCGGGATCTGAAGCGAAAGTTGTATCCTCCTTAGCAGAGGACGGGATATTAAGTTTCCTTAGCGAAGGATATGGTTGTCTTAGCAAACGGCAGGATCTAAAGCAAAATTAGAAGCAGACGGCGGAATTAACTCCATGGAGTAAATCTCAAGCAGACCAAAAAACCTGGATAGGCCAGCTGACAGCATGGGTTAAGACCATGGCTCTGAGACCGTGTTAAAATAGAACCAGGATAACTTATTGATATAAAGAGGAATATTTATTAGTAAGGAAACAAATAAAAACTAAAATAAAGAGTAAAAGGAAAGTAAATAAAAGCAAATCAAAGCAATTAATACAGAATTATGCATATTAATATTCTAATATTCTAATAAATACGAGATCCAATGCAATGATTAAACATTAAATCCACAAATATACATATAAACTCCTTAGATAAACACAGAAGTCTATAAATCCACTATACAACTCTAGTAGAGCACAAACTAATGTCACTAAAGATGAATCAAGCACTCATTTAAGATACATGAGAAAGGTAAAACATAATGCTTCGTGCACTTCTCATGTAGGCATTAGCAATAATGCATCGCCTAAGCAAGATTCCTATAAAGGCACCATATACCAAGAAGTCGGACAAAATTTCTTTGATTGAATAGATGAATGCGGACATTTGAAAAATAGGATGTGCCATGAGTGGGTAATATGGAAAGACTTCAGGACTTGGAGAAGCAATAATGCAGAGTAGAATACAAATTAAATCGAATATAGTTGTGAACACTCCAATTTCTACAATAAATAAATTGATGAAGAAAATGACGAGTCCATTGGGAAGGAAGGATGGGGGGCGTACGAATTTAGAGATCGAAAAGAGAATATAAAAAATAATGATATATAATAGATAGTTGATGATTACATAGTAACATGGTTCAATGGTTTATGTAGAAGTGGCTTTTGGACACATTATTCAATAATATCCACTAATTTTGGAGCTTTGGAAAGAAATAAAACTATGTTTTCCTAAACATCATTTTAATCAAATTACTATTACTTTATACTCTTGAAAACAACTTCCTCATTAAAGACACTGGTTGAATAGACAATGCAGTTTTTTTCTTTCTAAGTATCTAGATTGGTGCCTAGTGCCTCCAGCATTATGCAGTCACATCTCCTCGAGGTTATCTAATACTTTTGAAAGCATTGCATAATTGAATAAATAAACAACTGTCCAAGCCGAAAAATTAAGCATAGCTAAATAATAATACTTGCCAAGAACTGAAGCACCATTAGTCCAACATATAAAATAGAATTAATTGGGGAAATAGGGACATATAAGGGGAATCACTAAGGTCAATAAGTAGCGTCAAAATAAAAAATATATGTAATCACAAAGGTGGGTTCAATAGTCTCTCTTAATCAATCCAATATAATATATATAATGTGTAAGTATTATATTTTAAGTTTAATTATGAAGAGCACCACAAAAACGTTGAAAATTAAAAAAATAAATAAAATTATGTGCTAATGAGATGCATGAATTAATAAGTTATAATAAATACAAGTCAAAATAATGATCAACTCATAAATCTTATTATCAATATTATTAGACTCATTATAATCAATCAAGATAAAATGTGAAAAAAAAGTATAATGAGTAATTATGCTTATTGGAAGCCAAGAATGGCAAGTTTGTCACCCCAGTGGACACATCAATTCCAATGGAGAGCCATTGGTACCGGTATATGGATGGACTCTTCGGCCTTTGCTTAAGAGCGAAATAATAATCACATATCAACTTCAAATTTTGCTCATGCAAAGCATAAGGCACATCTCCTTCATCAACAACATTTCATGAATAAGCATGTTAAGTATGAAACCATATTCATAATAAAAAAGGTACTTCCATCATGTTCAATATTTGGAAGAGGGGTGTAAATCATATGTAAATACATACAAACACTTGAAGAAAGTCTTAACAAAATCTCCACACAAATGAAAATTAAAATGATGCCGATATAAAATCAATGCTTATCCACAAAATAAGTCCTTACAAATAGGACACATCCATATAGATTTACTTGCACTATAAAGTTCAAGGCTACCTACCTCAACACTTCAACATGATTTTGTTTATCCATCTGAATTCCAATTAGTCCTCAAATAGATCCATTAAAAGACATGACCATAAATAACTGAAAGTTTGAGAGACCCTTCACATGTTTAATTTTCTAAAAATCACCAAAGTTAGGCATCATATTTCTAAATACATTTAGCAACTCCAACATAACTTAAAAGTTTATATTAACTTACACATTTTAAATCACCATTTTCTCATCTAATATCACGAATTGAGGAACATTTAAAATTAGCAATCATGTCTTTCTTCATAAAAGTTATGTAAGCAACACTCTCATCCTTCCTAGGATTCCATCCTAATTCACAAGTCGGTCATCAACCTCAATCATGATTCTACATCAACCTCAAGCATTATCTATACTTATCAAATAGCTTCAATGATTAAACAAAAACTTCTGTTATAGGCTAGAATTTTCTCCCTATAAGTATGGGATTTCTTTGGATGAGCTTTGCAAAAAAAAAGGAACAAATCCAAAATAGACAATTTTCCCTAGAGAATATTGCATCATGATTAACAAACCATCTATAATGAAAATTTTTTAAAAAATATTAATAGCCCAAAATAGTGAAATGATTTTTTATTGGGGGATTTACATACATAGCATTCAAAACTTCTTATATTACAAATTTCGCACCTAGATTATCCTATTTGCAAATTTCACACTCTATTAACGGCGTAACGATGTTGGGCGAATGTACAAGCAAGCCTAAGACGACTGTAACTAAGTCATGGCTGGAGAAGAAGGATTGCTTAAGGCATCTGTGGCTCCAACCCAATTTTCATCAGCGTTAAGCTTCCAAACCCACTGCCCCATCTTGAAACACACAAAGGGATCGACATCATCATCAGTAGACTTTTTCCAATCATATACACTTCTTTTCCGCCCGATCCTAGGTTCTTGTTGTTTGTTGTTGTGATCTTGTGCGGTGTATTTTGAATTAATGTTTATTATTGAAGTAATTAAAAGGAGGATTTTATTTTATGTTAAGCAACGCAGGTTAAGATCTTATAGTTCTGTCATCCCGGCATCACTCTTAGTTTTGAATTTACTTAGTCTAAAGAAGTTCTTAACTTTTTTAGACTAGGTTTAGGTTGTATAAATATAAAAGATCGCATGAAAGCTCATGTTGGTTCCATGTAAATACACGTCTATTCGTCTGGTCGCCGCCTTCACTGCACGCTCATTTGTCAGATCATTGTCTCGACGACACACCCATCCATCAGGCCACTGCACAAGATCACAAAAACAAACAACAAGAATCTAGGATCGCATGAAAGCTCAAATTATAGAATTGTATGCAAAGTATTGAGAGCCATCCCATTCTTTATAAGCATTTCATCGAACAAGTAGCATGCAATTCTTACGTGTATTTACATGTCTCACACCTAAACTTCAAAATTTACATATAGGACCCCTTAGCTATGCATGAAAAGGAAAATTTTACTCTTAATGGCATTTTTTATATGATATGAAAGATTTAGGTTGTATAAATATAAAAATGTAAAATTTAGATCTTAGATGTGTGAATATATAGGAATTCAAAACCACTACTGAAAAATAATGGATCATTTGAAAAGTGAGGAAAGAGAGATAATGGTGCTTGTTAAGTGCATTGAAAGTCTCTGTAATGAGGATTTTAGCAGATAGTTATAACAAGAAGCGTGTACTTACAATCCAATTCGTATATATTTACATATCTAACACCAAAACATTACATTTTACATTTATAGCACCCACATATTTCATATCACATAAAAAAGGAAATCACATTTTGATAAGATAACATGTATGTAAAAAATAAAGTTTAAGCGTGGATATGTAAATATATAGAAATGAGTGGTATGTACGTAAATCTTCCTTACAATAATACCTTTGGCTGTTTTCCCCTCTTGTAACTGGTTAACGGCCATATTGCATGAAAAGCAATAAATAAACTTGTTTTAAATCATTATAACCTGACCAAAAAAACTCTAAGTGAGATATTTCCTCAAGTACTGAGTATGAAGCTTCCTGAAACTTGCACAGGCTCAATAAGTGAGCAAACAGTCGCCTGCTTGATTGGAAAGGATAAATGTGAGCACTGTTTATTTCCTCATTTCCTCCTATTCGCATTAGCTTGTCTACACCCATCTAAGACCAAAGAGCCTAGCTGAAGTGGATGGTCACTAGTCTCCAAGATAATGGTCCCAAGTTTGAGTCCATCCTTTTGCTTTTTAAACTAAATAATCACCAGCTCCATGAGTTAAATTTGGTCAATAACTCACCTCACATAGACATATATGAAATCAGGTTTGCACCCTCTTTGAAATTAATTGAAATGTTTAAGATAAACTTCAATCCATAAAAAAGTACAGAAGAGTATAAGTACAGCACCGTGGCAAAAAATCAAATATACCAAACTCATGCTAAACATAATAATATAAACATAATAATATGATTCTAATATGATTCAAACCAAATGGCAATTGAATTTCAAGACCAATAGGTAAACTCAAGCCAAAAAATAAATGAGAGAACAAAGAAAAGACATAATCTTTACCTTCAAGTTTCACTTGGGTTCCACCATAGTCAGGCAGAAGAACAACATTTCCTTCAAAGAAAAAGGTATTTGTTTCCCATCTCTACCTCGAATTCCAGGACCAATTGCCACAACTTTAACAGAGTTAAGTTTGTTGCTCTTCTCGGGAAGAAGGATGCCAGTGTCGAGGGACGCCGGCGGGACGTCGCCGGCGAGGAAGAGGTCAAAGTCCCCTCGCAAAAACCCTCGGGTAGGATCTCCGGGAGCGGGGGAGAATGTCGGCGGTGGTAGCGTTCGCCTGCAAGGAGGGCCGACGGGCGACCTTTGCGCGAAAGACGGCTAGGGCCGGCTATTCTCGCGAAGAGGGGGCTAGGGCACGTGCAAAAGGGATGAGGGTATGCGTGAGTATAAAAGGATTATTTTATTTATTTATTTTATTATTATTATTATTATTATCATTATTATATTTAAAAGCCCTAATTTAGTTGTTGTTGGCTTGTGACGAAACCTTAGTAAAATAGGTAACCTTCATGTGTAAAATCAATATTTTGAACACGCTCGAGTGGTATGTTTCTTCATATGTGGTCGTCAGGACAAATTAGCGGATAATCGGATTGATTTAAGTCTAATTTGAGCGCAACGCAGCGAATGAGATCTTTTGGTCCGATCGGAGTCGTTAGACAAGTAAAATATCAATCAATCTTCATTTAAGTAAGCTAAAGTTTAGCAAAATGATATTGGTTGCATGTCTCGTAGCACACGCTGAAGATTCTCAAATATAACTCAAAAATAAATCAAATTTAGTTTTTGAATTTTGATTTGTGATTGATTCTTTTGAAAATTAATTTTAATTTTGATTTAATGGTGAAGTGTATGTAAGTGTGAATGTGGGTGTGATGTGAATTGTGGTGTTTATGTGTGTGTGAATATGTATGTGGTATGTATTGTGGTGTTTGTGTGTGGTGCTTCAAAGAATAAAACCCCCTAAGTCCAAAATGTCTTCTTAGAGCATTTTCAATCCTTATAGGAGCTCAACTTGAGTTTCAATATGTTGGTTCCAATCAACTCAACTAAATGTTGAGGATTTGAAACCACACATATGAGACTATAAAGAGTTAAAATGTGATTAGAATTTTCTAAGTGACGTAAGTCCTAATACTAGGTCTCTAAGAGAGTCAGTAGAGAAATCATGTGACTTGATCTTATGCTAGACCTTACAAAAAAAGAGGTCAGCAAAACTCTCTAAAGGTCTTCTCTTGGAGCCTTATCGTAACCTTTTTCAAAAACAATAAAATCATATGTAGATCCTCCTTACTCTCCCTGTACTTCTCTATCAAACATCTCAATAAATTTATAGCTTCCATAGTAGACCTGCCATGCATAAATCCAAACTGATTATGAAAAATCTTTATATCACGTCTTAATATATGTTAAATTACTCTCTCACATAATTTTAAAGTATGACACAGAAAATTAATTCCTCTATAATTTATATCACATCTTAGATCCAATTCTCTTGCATCTTTTTATTTTTAAAATAACATTAAAAAGTTTAGTAAGCAAAGAAACTCCCAAATCACTAAAATATTTCCACATTTTGATTGGGATATCATTATGTACAACTGATTTTCTGCTCTTGATTTTCTTTAAAATCTCTTTAACTTCTTTCGTGATTTTCTTTAAAGTCTCTTTAACTTATTTTTTTTACTTATGTGACGGTAAAATTAAAATATGTTTTTTATTATTACTGATATTAAGATCACTAAAGCCAATCATATTTTCAGAAATTTAATCTAAAATCTTACAAAAATGGATCACCCACTTTTATTTAATATCTTCCTCTAGGAAAAACACTTTTTAATTTTCGTTTTTCATACACTTTACTTGAATTAAATCTTTACTTTATTTTCCCCTTTTTGGCTAGTTTATACATATATGTTTTACCCTCTTTAATATCTAACATATTAAAAATATCACTAAATGCAGAATTTTTAACGTCACAAAGTGTGCTCTTAGACTTCCTATAGACCATCTTATATTTTTTCCATTTATCTAAGCTTTTACATTTAAATTAATTTTTATACCACAACTTCTTATATTTTATTCTTTTACACATTATTGCTCCACTACCAACTATTTCTTACTTATAAAAACTTTTTGGTTTTCATCTTTAATCCACTCTACATTCGTCGGATCACTGTCTCCACATAAATAGTGTTTTTTTTTTATCCCATATATAATTTAGTTCTTTATAAACATCCCTGATCTTGAAATCTTGAAGTTTACATGAAGTTTACTAATAATAATAAATTTACTTGTCTCTTTTTGGTGTCTCGATCTAATTCTATGACATTTATTCATTGTATTCTTTATCTTGCAACTGTTTTTTTTTTAATCCAGAACTAATAATCGATGTTGAGTACTTAAATTCTCGCATGGAATGATCTTACAATCTTTACATTCTCTATGATCTCTTATTCTCATAAGAAAATAATCAGATTGTGTTTTATTAGATTCATTATTATAAGTAATAATATGTTCTTCTCTTTTCTTAAATAAAGTATTAGCAATAACAAATTCATAATGTTAAACAAAATTTAATATGACTCTACCTTCTTTATTAATCACTGCAAAACCATAGGCACTGAATATTTCTAAAATCTTCTAATACTCTACCAACATATCCATTTAAATCTCCTCCGATAAAATTTCTTTCTTCAAGAGGTATCATTTGTATTATTTCTTATAGGTCATTTTAGAATTTTTCTTTTGAACCTATATCTAAACCTACTTGAGGAGCATTAGCACTTATAATATTAAAAATTTTAATATCAACAATAATCTTAAGGATTATAATTATATCTTCAATTCCAATATTTTTTACAATATTCTCTTTTAAACTTTTTTATATAATTACACTTACACCTTTTCTAGTGCGACTCCGACATGAATACCAAAGTTTAAAATCAAAGTTATCAATCTTCTTTGAGTTTTTTCCAACCCAATTAGTTTTTTAAATACATAAGATATTTTTTTTTCTCTGAACTTTAATATCAACTAATTTCATTAAGTACTTGTGAGAGTTCCTATATTCCAAGATCCTATCATAATATTAGTTTCATAGACTTTTTTTTGTCTGCATCCATCCGTAATGTGAGAATACTTGCTTATTTGACAGTGCACCTGGACACCGGTATAGCGGCTCTTACACACTTTTCATTATATTCAGGTCATACAGCACGACGCTTTCAATGGACACCCAAACATTTACACAATGATTTAAGGGATTCGTGATTTTTTCGACAATTAATTTTATGTTAGTTGTGGACTACCTAAAACAACTTTTCATTTCTCAAATCTGAGGCTTGAGACCACGCAATAACAATGTTAGTTTTTTTTGGCACAATTCATGAATGTGCACAATCCTTATGTATAACTTTAATATTTATTAATGTAACATTCAAAATTTTTAACATCACATCAAAAATATTAAGATGTACATACGTACCACCCAATTCCAATGTATTTATATATCTAACACCTAAACTTCAATTTTTTACATAAATGTCCACCGAAATCTGAATTTATGATGGACTTATCGCTTATTTTGAACATGAGAAAGAATTAATTTTGGAATTCATAAATTTAGAACTTATTTCCTACCTTAAACCAGCCGGACGAAGCATTATTGGAAACCAGAGATAAAGTCAACTTAAAGGATGAGAGAACATAGCAAGCAATTTTTATGTAATCATTTCTATTATGGTTTCCCCTATTTAATCGCTGCTTTTATTCTTAATCTGCCATTTTTTCTGTGTCTTTGTGATTCCAACGTATAAAACATTTAAACTTCGCTTTTATACATTTACATTATGTGCTCATTTCTATCATGTTTCCCCCAAGCAGTAGGGGTGTTTTATATTTCGAGCCCAAAAAGTGTGTTCGTGTTCGGCTCGTTTGCTTAACGAGCCGAACAGGAGTTGTTCACGAACAAAAAGTCCTTTTGACAACCCTAATCACGTAAACATAAGACGATAAGGGTTTCAACAAGATTTAAAAATTATTATTTATATTAAAATATTATTTGAATCTAATTTAATAATTTTTATTCTATTTTCTTAATTAATATTTTAATTAGTTATAAAACGAGCGGAACAGGAGTTATTCACGAACAAAGAGTCCTTTTGACAACCCTAATCACGTAAACATAAGACGATAAGGATTGAGACAATATTTAAAATTATTATTTATATTAAAATTTCACTTGAATGTAATTTAATAATTTTTATTCTATTTTCTTAATTAATACTTTTAATTGATTATAAATGCCAATTAAATTATATATATATATATATAATTGATGAGTGGTATTTCGAATTTATTATAAATCTTTGTAGCCTTATAGTCAATTAATTTTTTTTTTTAAATACTACTTTGATATATATATATATATATATATATAAACTTGATGAGTAGTATTTCGAGCCAAAACTAGCCGAACACATTAACGAGCCAAACACGAGCTGTTCGCGAACAAGGAGCCGTTTTGATAGCCCTACCAAGCAGGTTGCTCGGCTCTTGAGCGGCTTGCTTACTAAGGTGATCCTACTAGGATTTTGAATGTCCTGAAGGAAAAAATTATTACATAAGGAGTCACGCAAAATTTGTATCAGGACCCCAATCACTACCTGTCACGTGTACAGTCTAACCCCTCTCAATAAAATATACTAATAATTTAATACATGGTGAGGCTAGACTGTTCACGTGGCAAATAGTAATATGAGTTCTGATACAATTTTACGTTAGGACATCTGATGTAATATTTTTTCGGGCTGAAAGGCAAGAATAATTATCCAGGTTGGCTAAAATGCAGTATTTTTTAAATTTCTATTTAATCTTATTGTATAGTTGGCCTGATTAAATTTCATTACGTCATAAATTTGCTGCTTTATTGGTCTACTTTATTTTAGGAAGATTTACATTCATACCACTCAATCCGTATGTATTTACATGTATAACGCATAAACTTCAATTTTTACTCATAAGTCACATTGACTATACATAAAAAGATGTATTTTATATTTTTGGTAAAATATTGGCATTTTTTAGCATATATGAAATATTTGGGTGGCATAAATGTAAAAAGTGAATTTTAGTTGTTAGATATGCAAATACATAGGAATCAGTTGGCATATATGTAAATGCCCTAACCTCAGAGTATGCTTGCCAAATTTCTTTAAACTCATGGCAGGGAACAAATATTGCTTCCGGACTCCAAATGCAAAGGTGACAGAAAAAAAAAAATAATTTTAACACAAGGGAATATTCTCCTCATGTTATACCGTATTATTTAGGTGTTATTGTGGTGGTATTCATGTACTATTGTGT